CGGAGGTGGCGAGGCGGGGCGCGAACAGGCTCCGGAGCGAACGAGGCGGAGGCTCCCGCAGAGCAGCCTCGGCCAGGACCGCGATGCGTCGGCTCCTGCTCAGCGCGATGCTCCTGGCGGCGCTGCTGGACGCGGGCCGAGGGCTCCCCGTGAGGAAGCCGCGCGGTCTGGAGCCCCAGTCCAGGAGCCACGCGAGGCTGGAGGAGGTGAGCGGCGAGGGTGCGGGGACTTGGCCAGATATCTCTCGAGGGTGAGGGCCGGCCGGCCAGAGGGCCCCCCACCCACCAGTGCCCGGGCGGCGACCGGCAGCTCCGCTGAGACTCCACTCGGAGTCCCCAGTTCCCGCGCGTGGCCGCGAACTCATGGCCAAGGGGTAGCGGACCAGAATGGGGGGGGGGAGGAGTTTGCTTCTGTGCTGAGCAAGGTGAGCCCACAGGATGGTTGGGCTCCCCGCTCCCTTCCTCGCCCTGAGCCAACCTCACCTGCAGCCCTGCTGCGTTTCTGCTGTGCCCTTGCGGGCTTGGACTGGGGCTGCCGCACCTCCAAAGGATCCGCTGGTCCCCTGGAGCAGCCTCTTAACTCCAGTCGCTCTTGGCAGGGTGAACTGAAGCAGGGGGTCAGAGAAAGCATGGTCTGTCAAGTCCTGCCTGCTTCCAGTCACTGAAGCTCAGCTATTGAGGTTAACCCCCCCCCACCCCCAGGCAAATGCAGTAGCCGGCCTGAGGTGGCGGTGGTCTGCGCCCCTGAGTCCCTGTGTGCCCAGAGATGATCCCAGGGAAGCCACAAGTCTTCCCATTTGTGAGAGGAGGACACTGCGGGGAAGTCATGATGAGATGGGGGGGTGAGTGCTAGACTGATAGAGCCGGCCTGCCAGGACCCTCCAGAGACGGGGAAAGAAGGGGACCAATCACATTGTAGATAGTGTTTCTGCCTCCTTAAGAAGCCTTTTAGACTTTTTTCCTACTGTGCTCCCCTCAGGTCTCCTATGAAAGTTTAAAATCAGATAACACTTCATGTTCTCTGTCCCTTAGATATCAGACCATTGCCACTCCATTTGACATAGGCATCACTCTTTTTTCCAGATTTGGGGGGCGGGGGGGGTGTGGGATTAAGGCCCAGAGAAGAGAAATGGAAACCAGAGCCAGAGTAAGCACTAGACTGGGGTTGAACACTAATGGCTCTGTAACCCTAGCTACTTGGAAGGCTGCAAGTTAGGCAGACTGAGGTTGGAGGCCAGCCTGGGCCAGCACTTACCATCTTCTAGTGACTTCTCAGTGTCCTCATCTCAAATGGGAAGAATATATACACAAGACCCCTTCTCAACCAATAGCTGGGCACAGTGGTGTGCACCTGTCATGCCACTATGTGGGAGATCAGGAGGACCACAGATCCAGAAGAAGTTCATGGGGGAGACCCCATCTTAACAGAAGAAACCGGGCACTTGTCAATCTATTTACAACAGGAAGCCTAAAATAGGCAGGTAATGGCTCAGGCAGGTGCCTGGGCAGGAAGTAAGAGCCTATCTCAAAAACTGGTGTAAAAAAGGTTTGGCTAGAGGTGTGAGTCAGCAGTAAAGCACCCTGAATTCTAAAACCCCAGTGCCATGAAAAGAAAAAAAGAAAACAAGAAGGGAGGAGGGAGGGAGAGAGCTACCTTGGGGACTTTATGGTACCTCCCCCAGGCTGCTTATCTAAAGTCTTTACAGATAAGCCTTAACTTCGCAAATGGTGTGCCACACTCTGAGTAGACCCATCACTGTGCCTCAGTTTACTCCCACATCAAAATGGAAGTAAGGATGTGTTCAACGTGATGGAGTGCTGGGTAAGGAATCACTGGACCCATGGGGGGCACTGTCACTCCCACAGGAAGGCGCCAAGCAGTTTGTGGGATGGATAAAGAATGGCACAGCTGGGGGCTGGGAAGGTGGCTCAGTGGTAGAGCACTTACCTTGCATGCATGAGGCCCTGGTTTCGATTCCTCAGCACCACATAAACAAAAAGAAAAAAGCTGGAAGTGGCGCTGTGGCCAAGTAGTGGGAGAGCGCTAGCCTTGAGCTGAAGAGCTGAGGGACAGCGCCCAGGCCCAGAGTTCAGGCCCCTCGACTGGACCAAAAAAAAACAAAAACAAAAAGAATGGCACAGCTCTGCCTTGGGTTCCATTGGGATGAGCCACCTCGCCAGGCATTTTGTGTGCCATGCCTTATCTTGTTATGGTCACAGGGACGAAGAAGCCAACAGCAGGTCTAATAACTACCCCAGGTTTAGTTCATGGAGAGCCTTGTCCAGACCCAACTTTCCTGCATTTGGTCACTTGATGGCGCCAGTCACTGAGCAAGAAAGACTTAGAGTTGAGGGTCTTAGCAGTGGAGGTTTAAATTAGACGAGAGAGAACTGGAAGGGGCAAGCTCTTGCAGATTGCAAGGGGTACCTCACGGCAAGGGTCCCCACATGGCACAGGGTGGGAAGCTCCTTCTCCAGCAACCAGGATCTCATGGCCGTGGAAGGAAACACTTTTTTTTGTTTTGTCTTGCCAGCACCCGGCAAGAAACACTTTTTGAGGCATGAACTGAGAAAGAGTAGGCAGGGTGCTAGTGGCTCACACCTGTAATCCTAGCTACTCAGGAGGCTGAGATCTGAGGATCATGGTTCAACACTAGCCTGGGCAGAAAAGTCTGTGAGACTTTTTTGTTGTTGTTGTTTTGGGGCCTGAACTCTAGGTCTGGCACTGCCCCTCAGCTCTTCAGCTCAAGGCTATAGTGCTCTACCACTTGAGCCACAGCCCCACATCCAGCCTTTTCTACTTATGTGGTGCTGAGGAATCGAACCCAGGGCCTCATGCATGCAAGGCAAGGACTGTACCACTGAGCCACCTTCCCAGCCCAAGTCTGTGAGACTCTTATCTCCAATTAAAGAGAGAAAGAGAGAGAGAGACAGACAGACAGACAGACACTAGGTCAGAGGAAGGAGGGCCGAAAGGCAAGGTAGCCCTGGGAGGGCAGGAGGGGGAGGACTTGAAGATCTTTCCTGTCTGAGGGGTGACACCAAGGAGCAGGTACTTTCTGAAGGTTGGCTTTCTTGCAGTGGAGGCTTTCTGTATGAAGTGAAGCCTAGGCCTTTCTGGGCAGCCTCAGCCTGCAGCTGCTCACCTCTCAGGACCTTGCTTCCCTCTTCTCGTTCTCTCTGAGAGAGGGGGTGGGGAAGGGAATCATAGGAGAGCTTTTTGAGGGAGAGAAAAGAGGACATGAATGGGGGCTGGAAGCCTGGCTGCTCCATGGTGAGTCGCTAACCACCCTGGGTCTCAGAAATCTCAGGCTGGTTCCCCTCTTCTCCTCTTCCAGGCTGTTCAGAAGATCAGAGGGGAAAATGGATACGAAATCTAGTAGGGTTTTCCTGTTTTAGTGTTGTTCATTCAGCAGCAAGGAGTGGCAGGCAAACAAGCTGATAGCTGTGATCCCAGCTACTCAAGAGGCTGAGATCTGATGATCAAGATTCAGAGCTAGCCCAAGTAGGAAAAATCCATGGGATGCTTATCTCCCTTTAACCACCGAAAAGAAAAAAAAAGTGGAGCTATGGTTCAGATGGTAGAGTGCCAGGCTTGAGCATAAAAGCTAAGGAACAGTGACCAGGCCCTGAGATCAAGCCCCAGTACTGGCACGTGCATACCCCCCCACACACACACACAAGAGGAGTGTCAGGCAACAAACCAAAAGGTGCTGCCCCTTCTTGCCTAGAGTTATCAAGATACTTACATGAATTAGACCTGCTGCTTCAGATCCCCTCTCCAGCCCTAACTGTGTGACCCAGACAACTTCACCTCCCTGAACCTTGGCACCTCATCTGTGACATAAGGATGATGCTCCTCCTATCTGCACAAAAAGTAGCCATGAGGATTCGGGTCCTGTGGGGTGCTCAGCTGGACTGGCTGTATAGAGTGGGGCCCACTGAAGAATGAGAATGTGTATTTCAGGATGGCAACCAAGGGGGTCTTGGGCAGGTACTCACAGAGCACTCCTTTAAGCTGGCCCTGCTTGCCTTGGAGGCCTTCCTGAGGGTCCAGGGTGAGTGGGCTAGAATAGTGTGTGCTAGTCAGGAGGGAAGTCCCACCCCTTTTCCTCTCCTGGGATCCCAGGCCTGGGCAGAATGGGCAGTTGCTGTGAAGACTGGGTGTCCTGCCCTCTCTGGAGGCCAGAGCCACTGAGCATACAGTTTCTGTCTGTGTGGATGGGCCGGGGCCATGAGGGCAAGGGACAGAGGTGCTGGCCTGCACAGCAGCTGGATTCCAATATTGGAATGAATTCCTGACCCCTGAGGCCCAGGGGCAGCTGCAGGGGCTGAGCAGGTTCGCAGGCAGGCAGGGCAATGCAGTGGGGTTTGTGGGGATCAGGACACTCCTATGCTCCCTTCAGATACCAGGATCAGGATAGTCCAGTTAAGCCTGGGGGTTAGGGTGGCATGTGTGTGTGTGCGTGTGTGTATGCACGCGCACGCGTGTGTGCACGTGTGCTCCAGGGAGGACTCCTGCCTAGAAAAGGCAGAAAGGCTTTGATTGTTCTATGAGCTGACTGAGCAGCAGGAAAAGGAGAAGCTGGGGATGGCTGGAATAGAATGTTGTGGGCACCTCTGTTACTGTCCTCATTTTGCGGATGAGGAAGCTCACAGAGCTGAGAATTCAGACCAGGCAGTGGACTCCAGCAAAGTCTCTTATCTGCAGCATGCATGGCTTCTGCTGTGCACGTGGCGCTATCCATGACCTCTGCCCACCAGGTGTTCCTAGAAATCTCTTCCTGGTGTGACAGCCACTCCGATCACAGGACGTTTATCAAGTGTCCCCAGGTGAGAACCACCACTTTACCAGCACAGATCAGCCCTGAGGGGTGCCTGGTTGTAACCTTTGAACAGCTCAGATCCCAGAGCAGCAGAGGTTATGGATAGGAATGACCTTCCTATGTGCATCAAGCCTCCAGGGCAGGTCAGAGAAGGGGTTTCTTAATTACTCCTTCTCTCCATCTCTGGATATAGGCCAAAGAGCTTTAACTTGGCAAAAGATAGGGATCCAGAATCACAGGGCCTAGGGCTGTCTTGGGACCAGGTGTTCTAGGCAGGCAGGGAGGTCAAAGGAGAAAGAGGCAGAAACTGATGGGGAAGCTAGTTTGGGAAGTGCACAGACTCTCAGTACTCGGGTTTGCTTGTAGTCATATAGCACAATGGTTAAGGGCCTAGACCCTTGGGCCCAGCATGCCTGGGAGACTGCTTGCTCTCTCGGTGCCTGAGTTGCCATTGTATATGAGAATGGCAGGTAGCAACTACCTGCGAGTGCTATTGGCAGGATGAAATGAATGTTTAGAATAGTGCCTGGTGGGGGCTGGGAAGGTGGCTCAGTGGTAGAGTGCTTGCCTTGCATGCATGAGGCCCTGGGTTCGATTCCTCAGCACCACATAAGCAAAAAGAAAAAAAAAGCCGGAAGTGGCGCTGTGGCTCAAGTGGTAGAGCGCTAGCCTTGAGCTGAAGAGCTGAGGGACAGCGCCCAGGCCCAGAGTTCAGACCCCACGACTGGACCCCCCCCCCGAAAAATAGTGCCTGGTGCACAGTAAGCACTGTCCCCATGTTTAATAAATTCCAACATTCCTTCCAGATAGGAATTGTCATCCTCCTTTTTCAAAGAAGGAAGTCATCAAGTTGAAAGTCCAGCTTGCTCTGGGCCTCAGACTTATCTGACTCTGACCCTCCAAAAACTTTTTTTGGGGTGTGTGTGGGGGCAGGGGTGGGGGTGATCATAGGGCCTGAACTCAGGGCCTGGGTACTGTCCCTGAGCTTTATTTTTATTTTTTTGTCAGTCATGGGGCTTGAACTCTGGGCCTGGGCACTGTCCCTCAGCTCTTCAGCTCAAGGCGAGTACTCTACCGCTTGAGCCACAGCGCCACTTCCGGTTTTCTAGTGGTTTGTTGGAGATAAGAGTCTCACAGACTTTCCTGCCTGGGATGGCTTTGAACCAAGATCCTCAGATCTCAGCCGCCTGAGTAGCTAGGATTACAGGCCTGAGCCACCGGCGCCCAGCTTGTCCCTGAGCTTTTCTGATCAAGGCTATCATTCTACTACTTTGAGCCACAGCTCTACTTCTGGTTTTCCAGTGGTTAATTGAAGGTAAGAATCTCATGTACTGGGCTGGGAAGGTGGCTCAGTGGTAGAGCACTTGCCTTGCATGCCTGAGACCCTGGGTTCGATTCCTCAGCACCATATAAGCAAAAAGAAAAAAGCTGGAAATGGTGCTGTGGCTCAAGTGGTAGAGTGCTAGCCTTGAGCTGAAGAGCTGAGGGACAGCGCCCATGCCCAGAGTTCAGGCCCCATGACAGACCCCCAAAAAGAAAAAAAAATCTCATGTGCTTTCCTGTCTGGGTTGGCTTCTAACCACAGTCCTCAGATCTCAGCCTTCTGAGTAGCTAGGATTACAGTCATGAACCACAAGCACCCAGAAGCTTTTTTTTTTTTTTAGCTCTACTGTCTCAGGACTGCAACAGGAAGGGTCAAGGCCAAGGCCTTCATGGGGCAGAATATACAGACTCTAGGACCCTGAGATCCGCAGCAGCAACCCTGGAAGGGATTCTTTCTGCCCTGCCATAGAGACCTGGGCAAATGGCCAAGGCCTAGAGTTAAGTGGCAGCTGTCAATCCCCCAATGCCAACTGTCTGAACTGGTGATTCAGGAGCCGGAAATGGCCAGTTATGCCTTTCCCAGATTGTCTCAGCTAAAGACATAGCCCTGGATGTGGTCATCAAGGCCAGTGACTAGTAGAAGAGATAAACTGGCTAACAGCTAGCCACACAAGCAGCCTGGTAAAGGTAGAGGACTAGGCCATAAGTGGGCAGGAGGAGGAAGGTAGCTAAGGTTGCAGATGCTAAGGAATCAGTCCCCAAAAGGACAAGTGGCTGAGGAACAGGCTGGGTTGAGGAGAAAGGCCAGGTCTCTGGCCCATCCTCTGTAAGATCAGGCTCATTCCTGGAAATCTTCCCATTCTGACTTATGAGGACCTGGATTAGAGTGTTGGGCGGGGGGAGGGGGGGAGAGGGAGGCAGGGGGTAAAGGTTTTGAGGCAGATCATCTGCAGACAGCACGTTAGAACAGCATGTTCATCATCTGTGAGAAGTTTGGATTCTGCTTCACATTGGGATCAGTTATCAAAGCATTTTGTGGACTGGGTTCACTATCCACCCAGTTACACTTCACCGGACCTTGGAGGCCATGAAGACAGTGCTTAGATTCTCATCTATACATAACATTCAACATGGGCTTGAGTCACAGGGTGAGCAGATGGCACAGTCAGAGCTCAGGACTCCCGACTCCCCTGACCTGACTCTTCCGATCCACGTGGGGTGGACCCTGATCTCAGTTACCCACATTCCCTCTCTCCCCAGGCCTCAGCCACCCTAAATCCTGACTCTTCTGGAAAAGAGGAGGAGACACCAGGGCTCCCCAGAAACCATGTCCAGGCAGGGCCATGCCAGGACAGGTGCCAGACCCTCCCTGATCCAGTGGCCCTGACCCCGGGCATGGCCATCCCTCCTGGGGCCCTGGAAGCTACCCCTTTGCTGCTGGAGTTGCAGAAGCTACCAGGATTGGCCAACACAGACTTGAGTGCCCCGAACCCCAACATCCAGGTGAGACTACAGATGTACCACTGACTCAGTGAACTCTGGAGAGGAGCTGAGCTGGTAGCTCAGCCCCTTACCTTTTTCCTTGAAAGGTCCTTGTGAAGATGAAGAATTCTTTATGTGCTCCCCCAGGGAATGTGGGATGAGCACCTGCCCCTCATTTTCTAGATGCCAACCTTGGACAGGTGTGGTCTCCAAGCCTTATCCCCTAAACCACAGCAAGGGACAAACAACACTAATGTGGCGGGGCTGTCATGAGCATTGAATGAGTGACAAATGCTTCATCAACTGCAGGGTGCCCTGAATGTGGGGGGAGAAGGGCCTTCTGGAAAAACTACAGGTCTGCACCCACTCAATCCAGCCCTTACTGCAGGCCCTGATGCGTGGTTCAATTTAGGAGGAGATAGGCTGGGGCATGGAGGGCACCCCACCTGATCTTTCCACTGCCCACTTTCAGCCTTTATTCACCGAGGATAATTCTGCATGTTTGTGTAGCATCTACACTTTGCAAAACACTCTTGCCAAAAGAGGGAGGAAAAGATCGCAAAAAGTATAGAACATCTTAACGTTGCTTTATCATACATGTTATAATAATAAAATACAATAACAATAACATTCTAAAATTATTTTATCATTCATATATATATATATACATATGTGTACATGTATATACATATATATGTATATATTATATAGCCTGTACTGGGCCCTGAACTTGCTTGGCTTTTTTGTTCATGGTTGGTGCTCTAGCCACAATCCCAGCTTTTTGCTAGTTAGTTGGATGTGGAGTCTCATGGACTTTTCTGCCCAGTCTGTCTCTGAATTTCCAATTCTCCAGATCTAACGCTCTGGAGTAGCTAGGATTACAGGCATGAGCTACCTGTGCTTGGCTAGTGACTTTTTTCCTTTATTAGGTTAGTGTGGGGAGAGAGCTCCTGTGGAGGTCACATGGAGATGTGACATGGGAGGTCTTTTCCAGCACTACATGGAGAAATAGGAAGCTCAGTGCTGTTCCTAGTACCTGAGGCCAGGCAGCCTATGTATGGTGGAGCCGGAATTCAAACCACTTTCTTGTAAATTAGGTCAGCCACATACTGACTTTTCCATGGCTGTCCTCATTGCAATCCATACGTGGGGCTGGGAGTTAGAAATCTTAATTCTTTGTGTATGTGCACACGTATGTGTGTGTATGCGTGTGTGTTATGTACCAATCCTGGGGCTTCAATTCAGGGCCTGGGTGCTATCCCTGAGTTTTCTTGCTCAAGGTTAACACTCGACCATTTAAGCCATACCTCCACTTCCTGCTTTTTTGGAAGTTTATTGGAGGTAAGAGTCTCACAGACTTTCCTGCTTGGGCTGGCTTCAAACTGCTATCCTCAGATCTCAGCCTCCTGAGTAGTTAGGGTTACAGACATGAGCCACCAGCACCTGGCTCTTATTAATTTTTTTTTTTTTGGTTCCGGTCTTGGAGCCTGAACTCTGGGCTTGGACACTGTCCCTCAGCTCTTCAGTTCAAGGGTAGCGCTCTACCACTTGAGCCACAGCGCCACTTCCAGCTTTTTTTCTTTTCTTTTTTTTTTTTGCCGGTTGTGGGGGCCTGAACTCTGGGCCTGGGTGCTGTCCCTTGGCTCTTCAGCTCAAGGCTAGCACTCTACCACTTGTGCCATAGTGCCACTTCCGGCTTTTTCTGCTTATGTGGTGCTGAGGAATTGAACCCAGGGCCTCAGGCATGCAAGG